CTCTTCCGACAGTTTCGGATCCAGAAGAGGTGACTCTGATGGAGGGATCACTGCAGCCAACAGAGACCACTGAGTCCGTCTCCTGCTAGGCCTGAGCCACCTGGGGTTTAGGAGAAGAACAGCATTAAAAAGCCCCTCCCACTAGTGTTTGCATTGTCACCCCTCCCCTACCGGAGCTGTCCCTCACTGAGCTTCCCGGGATCACTTCCCCCTCTCCCCACACCAGACCAGGCTCCCGGAGTGCCATGTGGTGCGCCCCCACACCCCGTTCTGGGTTCTGGGTCCTGGGTCCTGACACGATGGGTGAGCCTGCCCTCCCCACCCTCCCCACCCTCTGGGTCACCTGACTCTCGTCCCAACCCGGCTTCTCCAGTGGAGGCTGGGCTCCAGGGCAAGTTGGGGCTTGGGCCGGGCCTGGAAGGATTGGCTGGAAGGCTGTGGAGGAGGCCCTGCGGCCAGCGGACGACGGAGGAGTGGGGAGGAGTGGGCAGGCCCGGGGAGGGGAGCGGAGGATCGCGCTGGCCTCCCTCCCCAGCCGCCCCGCACGCTCAGGACGTCCTCACTGAAGGTTCACGTACAAAGGAATGTTTCTATATAAAATAAAGCTTTCTATCTTCTGCCGTCTGGGTCCTCAGGGCGGCAGCGGGGTGCGGGCACACGGGGCACGGGTCCCTGTCCTGCTCCCTCGCTGGGGCCCTGTGGACGGCCCCTGGGGCCCAGCGCTGTTTCCGAATGAGGAATGTTTTCCTCCTCGGGACCAGGGAAGGCAGCAGGCCCGGCTGGGCTGAGGGGGCGGGGAGGGAAGGGGCGTCCCCAGCGGCCGGGGCTCGGCCCCACCCGGCGCCGCCGCGGGGCTGGTCAGCCGCGGGTGGCGGGGCCCAGGCGAAGATGAGGAGGAAGTCCTGAGACCCCCGGCTCCGGAAGTGCCCGCTACCTCCTCAGCTACAAGTTCCCGGTGCCACTCACCGCCACTCCCATGACTGCGCTTGGGCCTTCCCAAGGAACTTTCTGGAAGGCTAAGGCCCAGCGGGAGCCTCCGCCGGGTGTGTGTGTGCGGGGGGGCGGGGCCCCGCGCGGCTGGGAGTCCGGGTCGGGGTGCAGGGAGCACCGGAGTGTGCACAACCCAGTGTGCACAACCCGGCAGGCCTCCGGGCGGGCTGGCGGCGCTGAGGGCTGCTGGGCTTCCAAGAACTCTCGCAGACGGCTTGGAAGCTCTGCCCAGCGTCAGTCCTGTCATTCCCCTCCGGCAGTGGCTCCAGCCTGTATCCAGCGACTGAACTGGCCACTCTAGTGCCTCCTGCTGCCCGGCACCTCCACGATCACCGGCCAGGGTCCCGACCAGAGGGCCACAGCAGTGAGCCCTGGGCAGCAGCCGCCCTCTGGACCCAGGGCCATCTGCCCCTGGGTGAGGAAGAGGCAGTTCTGATGGCCATGGCTGGAGAAACAACCTGCACAGATCCCCGTCTGCCCTGGCCTCAACCACTGCCCCTGGCCTTAGCCGCTGCCCCAGGCATAGCCATCATTCGCCCACGGGAAGCCATGGACATAGCAGAGAGGTTGAACACGCCCCTTGTGATAAGGATGGACAACAGCAGGGCAGCGCAGTCGGGACGCAGGTGTGGGACTAAGCTAGCAATGCCACTTGCACACTAGCTGTGTAAACTGGGGCAAATTCTTCACTGCTTTAAGCCCAGGTGGCCTTGTTTGTGAACAGGGATGACCTCTTCAGCATGAGGCAATTCTGGGATCTAAGAGTGACCCTGGCATGTAAAATGTCTGGCTAAGGGTTAGAATTTAGCTAATATGGTGGTGCCTGGCCCTTTGACAGGATTCTAGAATTCTGCAACCGATCAGCCTGGCTACCCCTCCCCCACCACGACAAATGAGACCATACAGCTGAGCCTGTCCAGTATGCAGGCAGGGCTCAGCTGTACCTTCCAGACTCCCTGGACTGGAGCTACTCGAGAGTTCTCTCAAGTCTTAAAATGTAGTCCCAACCTGGAGGACTCTTGGAATTTGGTGTCTAGTCACCTTCTCCCTCCCATGCTAGGGCAGTTCATGCTGTCTGGGAGCCCAGATGAAGGCTTTCAGATAGACCTGAGTTCTTGGAAGTCCCTGGGAAACCAGCTGAGGTGGTCATTTTGCAAACACGGGGATAGGATTCAAAGTCTTGCTGGCCTCTCTCTTTGGAGGCTGGCTGCACCGGCCTTGGCTCTTTCCCCACACATACTTTCGGCTGCCTCACCGTCACTCTTGAGGTCCCAGACAAGTTCTTTTCTTTGGCCACAATGCTTGCTCTTCATAAAATGCCCTTCTTTATACCCACTGGCCTGAAAACTCATCCTTTAGAATCACCCACAAAGCTGCTTCCTCCATGACACCTGTCCACAAAGCCCAACTCTCAAGCAGCTTGGTTGACAAGCTCCAACTGGGATTTTCTCCACTTTGCCATTTTGACTCACTGTGGATCAACGGATTCTTCACACAATCCAGGAGCAATTTGGGGTGTTCGTCATCTTTGTGCCCTCCTAACAAATGCTTGCCAAATGAAGAAAGGACCTGAATTAGGTTAGAGTTGTTGGGAATGAAAGAGAACTAAATTCTTTGGAGGAAAAAGGGGGATTTGGGGCCAGCATGTGGTGTGGTGGTGAAGGTGCTAGATTCCCACACAGTGGACAACGGTTCCAGTCCTGGATCAGATGACTTGAAAATCACACTGGGTATGTGTGTGCCCATTTGTGTGCCCAAAATTCTGAGAGGAAAAAGGATTGTGGCATGACCATTCCCCCAGGGGATGATTTCACATGTTCTGTCTTTCTGGCCAGTGCACATACCCTATGGTGAAAACACTAAAATGAAAAAAAAAGAAGAAAGAAAGAAAAAGAAAAAAAGGGGATGTTCTGTTTGTGACAGCAAAAAAATGGCATTGGGGGGTCAGAGACCAAACCAGAACTATGTTTAGTTGTCATGTGACCTTGGAGAAGTCACTTAATTTTTCTGAGTGTTAAGAGTTTTCATACTTAGATGGAGATAATTCCTACCCTGCCTAACTCACTGGGCTGTCAAAGAACGTCAGTTGGTACAAATCTGCTGTAACTAAGGGAATGCTATTAAGGATGAATTAACAAAATGGCTCGCTGACTGGTTGTGTGGCAAGTGGCAAAAGTGGAAATTATGCCAAGATCTTATGCTTAAATGATTATAGAGTGGAGGGTTCTCTGTATCCTGTTAGTCCTTGCCCTTTGGACAAGGGCTTGGTCTGGAGAATTTCTCTCAAGGAAAAATATGTCACCTACCCCCCCCCCCAATGAATCTACCCCATAGTCCTGGGACAGAATCCAGCCCCTGCCCCCTTTTCCATGAAAGGGAAAGGCCGCCGCCTCCTCCTTCTCGGGGAAGCCTTTGGCTCTGCTTCCTCTTAGTCCTGCCTAGAGCCCAGTGGCCAGGAAGGGCCTTTAGGGCCTCTGTGGATGATACCCATCCCACATTCTATTTCGGATAGCCTGCGTTGATTATTTAAACTCTTTAATTTCGAAGCACCCCCTAGTAAAGAGGCTCCTCAGCTGGCCCTGACTCCCCTGTCCCTATCAGGAAATGTTCCCGGTCGGAAGTGAAGAGACCCAGTCGGCCCCAGGAGGCCATTTTCTTCCACAAGAGCTGAGACCCGGGGGCGAGGCCGATTCTCAACACCCCCACCCCGTCCCGCCTTCCCCCTTCTCCACGCTTTCCCATCCTGGCCCAGGCAGGTTCCGTCGCGGATCACCAGTTCTGTAATGGCCCCTGGGGCAGAGACGACGCTCAGAAAAGAGGGTTAGGCTGGTGCTCGGACACCTTCTCCCAAGGATTCCAAAGCTAGCCCGGGGTCGACGTCACCCGGGACTCGAACCCGCCCTCTTGTCTCCCGAGGCCTAGTTCCAGTTGCTGCACTAAACGCAATCACACTGTCCCTTTAAGGCGGCACTTTTTAGTCTTCATTTGTTTACTTCTTCATGCGCTTTTCGTTTTTTACAAAAATATATTTACAATATCCTTCCACAAATGTCAGACCCAAGCACAAACCACACGCCTTGAAGCCCCTACTGCAATTTTAGGAATCAGGAGCTGGTAGCCCTGGGCCAACATCTCTCTTTACATGATTTAATCTTCTTCTACACTTTAGGGACTACTTTTTAGGAATAGACCATTTTTGCTTTAGTTAACAAATGTTTATGACCTTCGGAACTCTTCCGCTGGGAACAAAAGACAACAATAGCCTTTAAAACGCACCTTTTCATAAAGATATTCTGTGTGGGCGCTCAAAGACCACCGAATCTTCTCGTATTCCCGAAGTAGAATGGTACGGTCCACGGCCCGCCCCATCTTCTCAGCGATTGGCCTTCCTTCCTGGGGAAGACGTGGGACTCTAGACCAATGGTCGCTCACGTTTCTCTAGCAAGGGATAAGCGATGGAAGAGGCCGGCCTGGGAGACGCCCCCTACGCGTTTTGAGATTGGCTACGTCGCACGGCGCGCGAGGACGGCGGGCCTGAAAATGGGAACTACGACTCCCGGCTTCCCGTGACGGGGGCCCCAGTACGCATGCGCAAGGGCGGAGCAAACAGGCTTCTATATAAAAGAGGCGCAGAGGGCTGGGAGGCAGCAGTTGGAAGTTGGCAGGTGGAGAGGCAGGTTGGGAGGGGAAGTCGGGGGAGGAGGCGGAAGAGGAGCTCTTCGAAGGGGGAGGAGGGAGGGAGGAAAAGAGGAGGAGGCGGAGAACTGAACTGAGCAGAGCATCGAGCCAAAGGGGAGATGAGTTTGTCTGTCCTCGGCTGAGGCTCCGGCCGGGCCTAGGGAACCGGGAGCTCGGGTTGGAGCGACACCCGTGGAAGTGGGAGGAGGTGGCTCTAGGACTTTAACCCCTTGTGGGCTCTGCGGCAGGGGATTTAACCCTTTGTGGACCCGGCCCCTCGGAGGAGGCGTCTTCGGGTAGTTTTAACCCCTTCGGGGCTGGGTTTAACCCTTTGGACTTAACCTCATCTCTTTACCAAGTCCTCGATTTTGTGGGCGCACTGCGGGGAGGCTTGAAGCCCTCTCCCTCCGCTCATTACGCACTGTACCTGCCGCTGCAGCCCCTTGGGCCCGCGAGCTGGCCGCACTGTGCGCGCTTAACCCTTTACTGACTTGAGCTCCCCAAGTTGCGATTGGAGTTTGCTGACAGAAGGACCGGCTAAAGGCATCACTGCAGGAAGTAAAGACCGAAGAGGACTCTGTTGGACATTTTTTAAAAGGAAAAAAATTAATTTTTTCCTTAAGGACTTATAGCCAAAAAATTTTCAAACTTCGAGAAGAGGATCTACTAGACATGGCCGAGCCACTCTTGTCCGAGTATCAACACCAGCCTCAAACTAGCAACTGTACAGGTGCTGCTGTTCACGAAGAGCGGAACCCTGAGCGCCCCCCAGGAGCGGAGGAGCGGGTGCCCGAGGAGGACAGTAGGTGGCAATCGAGAGCGTCCCCCCAGTCTAGTGGCCGTCTGGGGCCAGAGGGGCAAGGTGGCTTGGAGCCCCAGCTGCAGACCCTGGCCTGTTCAGAACCTAGCTGCTTGGAAGCGGGTGAGAAGGGCCCGAATGGAGACGATGTGTCCGCTGGAGGTACCTCCACACAGACGGCGGTAGCGGCGGGGGGGGGGGC